CTGTTGCAAATTTTTGCTTTTGTTTGAAACATTTCATATGAGCCCCGAAAACGCTTCTGTTTAGCTAATTCACCTAATTCGTCGATTATTCGACAGAGGAAGGGCAAATTCCCCATTACTGGTCTCTTTTAGGAACTTGTTATGGCGATATCTGGCCATTAGAGCTTGCATAAAGCAATAAATTTCTCGTGGTTCAATAGCACATGCGGTACCTCCCACAAAATGACAAAAACAAAACAAATCCTCACGATGAACACAGCGAATAGACAAATGCTCCCAAAGGCCTAACTACTAATACAACTTTTCAATATCAATTCAAGGGACATTCATCGTCCTATTCATCGTCTTCTGTCTTCAGTCTATCTTCAGTTCTGCTCACCTAGATGTTCGAAAACTTCCTGTCCGATCCTTGGTATTCGGCAGGATACTTCGGAGCACACCCTGGTGCCTACAATACACCTTTTTAGTATTGCTTTTCCTCTGGACGGGTGGGGAACTGCAACTTGACCGTGTGTTAAGTACTTCTTTCTCGCAGTGCTCATTGTGGGAACATGTTTCCATCATTTCGTGGAAGAATACCACATGTGCTTTCGAACGATAAGAACCTTATTTCTTCACGCAGCTTCTGGTAACATGACATCCTCATAGCAGAAAGGAGAAATTGTTCCCTTCTAATTTCAGTAATTAGAGAATTAGGTAAACTAGCTAAACAGAAGTGTTTTCGGGGCTCATATGAGGTGCTTCGAAGAAAAGCAAAAACTTGCAAGGGTCAAGGATTCCAACATGTGACCTCGTTCCTCTGGAACAGCCCTTATCCACTACACCACCGGCCGCTCGGCACAGACGGTTACACTTCCGAACTTGTGCGCACAGCGCAGAGAATAAATGGTCCGTAACTCCCTCCAGAGAATCGTTCCGTAACTTTCGAGGACAGATTTGAGTTCAACGGCTCAAGACACGTCCATCTATATACATCTCATTGCAAATGGCCGGATCGACCTGTTGGGATTCTCTTGTTAGGAACGCTTGCAATAGTTTAAGTGATTCGAACATTCCAATGTCGACCTCACAGACAGGCATAGCTAATGCCCCATTGAGTCCCAATGAGAGATTACTGAGTCACCTTATCCATGGAAATTCATATCAAGGATGGAAGTCGTTAGAGTCCTCATCATAATCAAGCATCACCCTCAGCAGGTTTTAGACGATTTAAAATTAGTGGGAAGGCTCTGCACGAGGGCACCCCGAGCTATACAGATATACAGATTCAAATTCCACCTAATCGCTTGAACCAAACTCGAGCTGCCATAAGAATCACCTTTCCTTAATCGTATATATCACAAGTTTTGAGCTTCTTCTGTAATTCGAAAACCGAGATAAGGCGCAAGAGGTTGTTGTCAAAAAATAACTTTTGTGTCGACCTGAATTTCCATTGCAGTGGAAAAAAAATTCGACCGAAATCAAGAATCATTAGGAAGGCAACTACACTATCTTACAGAGCGGGAAATGATCTGTGGAGTAGCATAGAACACATCAGAAACGATTTCCACTTTTCATATTAAAATTTGTGTCAGAAAAAAACGTATTTACTTTTGGGCCGACCCATTACCTATGAGCACGAGCGCGGTCGGCAACTATGGACCGCAATTACGATCTACGCCCCAGCAAACAACAACTGAGCGCCCTTGCGTTAGATGTGGAGAGGTCTTGCGCTGGAGTGGGCATTACGACTGAGTGGGTGTTAGATTTAAAAGTTCCGGCGGCTGTAGATTCCTCCTCAGTCGCTGTGTAATCGCGAAAGTGAGACAGTCTCCTAACTTGGAGCCGGACTAATTCCACAAGGAAGGCGACCACGACTTACTTGAGCGCGGGGCTGTTCTTTAAGTTCGATGAACATCAACTTTTTCGAAGTGTATAATAACACGGGATGAGCAGTGAGTTCCCCTGAACAACATAGACCGACAACGGTCATATGAAACGGTCATTTCAGCAAATTGCTGTTAAAGGAGAAAAAAGGATAAAGTCTACACCGCTAATCAGTAGTTTTGGAATGCGGCACGCATTCTAGTTAAATAATTAATTTTAACGCATGCGATGTGGCGCTTACAATTACATGCAAGGACCAGCTATTTGTTGAAAGGGGGCACGCGACAACATTTGGGGAAATTGGGCTGGCGCCGCTCCAAGCTTAGTCCCACTCTTACACGCCCTAGCATCCGCAGCGAACAAGGCTATATGTAAACGGCAGAGCAGTAAACAAGTCAAGGAGCAGCTGGTCACGTCAGGAAAAGCAGCTGGTCAGAAAACGATCGCTCTATACGTAAAAAATTTGCGTCTACAATTCAGCTTTGCTCAGAGATATTCATTAGCACCACCTCAGGTGATAGAAGGTCCCAACCATATGAGACTTTCCATTGACAATTTCGCCGCTCATAGCTTGTACAGGGGTGAATGATCATCCTGATTCGCTTCCTCATGTATGCGAGTAGTCAATGTGAGGTTCCAGTTCCTACCTTCACTACAGGGAAGAAGAAATATTGCGCATACTGATGACGTTTCTAGTTTTGCAAAAGATTGCTTTGAAATAAGTTGTTAGTTGTAGTGTAATGCGTAAAATTCCGCTCACGATTCACCACTAACCATCCATAACTCATCACCCCATATATATAATTCGCTTTGTCTGCTTGTTAAGTTTGTAAGTTTGTCTGTCCGGAAATTCGGTTCGACCTGAAAAACGACTTGGAGAGGTCCAGTCAAGGTGGGGATAGGTAGGGCATGGGACAAGAAATAAAAAGCACACTTGACCCATGGCAAGCCCCGCCCACAGTGGGCGGGGCACTCGCCGAAAGTTTGGGGTTCCGCAGAAAAGTGATCATAATTCGCTTCCGGAGCAGCAAGATGGGGAAAAAAAGGGAATAAGATTAGTAAGGAGCACCCCAGACTATTTATGGCAGACACATCGAAAATGGGTGGGGTGTACTCAATTTGGGCGGTGCTAAATTTAGTAACCCGGTTCGCGAGAGTGTTTGGAAGTCGCAAAAATTCAGTGTAGAATGTAAATATCAGGCGAATATAGGGCAAGTCGAAGTGTGTTGAGACCCGCCCACAGTGGGCGGAGTTTGCCCTAAATCGCAGGGTATTCATTTTAAAAGTTTGTAGCCCGGTTCCAGAACGCTCCAGATACCAGAAAAAAAAGTGGATTAAGTTCAGCAGAGGGTCGTCGGTGAAAAATGTGGGGCAAAAACATTGTGGACGGAGCCTGCTCCGAGGTGGGCGGAGCCAGACGAAAATTCTCTGAAACTGTCCCGGAGCACTTCAAAGACCGGAAAAAAGCGTGGATTAAGGTCAGCAGAGTGTCGCTGGTGAGGATTGTGGGGCACAAACATTGTGGGCGGAGCCTGCTCCGGGGTGGGCGGAGTCAGACGAAGAATCTGTAAAATAGCTCAAGAGTACTTCAGACACCGGAAAAAAGTGGAGTACAGAACAAAAGGGGGATATCAGTTGAATCTAGAAATATGTGAAAGAAAGCACGCGCGGCGAAGCCGCGCCCGCCCAGCGCAGCCGGGCCGTATCAGAAGGAGCCGCGCCGGCGTCAGCCGGCGAGGCGACTGGTCATGAATATTTCACGAGCGGGAAAGATTAACATGAGATTGAGTAGGCAGAAGACGCAACAGTTGAGACACGATGGCAATTTGCCTTACCTTTCCCAAAAGACCAGGATCTGAAAAAGCTTTCAACTTCAGATGAAGCTCCGCGACTTTACCCATGTCAACACGTGTGCTCCACCGCCACTTTGCGCTGGGATCTCAACGCAGGCGCGAGCTCGCAAATCGTTACGTATTTAGTCCTTATCGTCACATCAAACAATAAGAGCCGGAGGGGAGGTACCAGGATTCTTTTTCGGGGGAGCATACTGACACCACCCTTTCACACATCTAATTCTCTTCTTTGTGTCGACATCATACTTGACTCGAGAAAGCAGAGCGTATGTTGCACCTCTATGAACCTCACAAAGGCGAACACCACCGGAAAGAGGCCAGTTTTTCAAGCCTCATTCTCGCTCCACGGAACGGATGTGTCTGAGAGCCTCAACCATATACAGTCGTATTCGCTGCGGGTAAAAGGGCATGGTCATGCGGGATGTGTTTGGCTCGGCGCCAGAATCGTTCTTCACCGTTTGTTAAAGCGGGTAGGTGGCAACAGTCGATGGGAAGCGGGTGTGGCACCGTGTAGAACCCCTCATCCGCAGTGAACAAGAGTATTTACTGTGCTCAGGAAATTGGCACTATGAGCGACTAGCTCCAGGCTCAAGCAGCAGGAAGCAAAGGCATTAAGAGCACTAAAGAACCGATGTCCTGTGTAGGGGAAAGAGATTTATACGGTCGCATGCCTATCTCTGTTTCTGCAGTCCTTCATGCATTTACGTACCCTCAAACACCTGGACTCGCATGCAGGATGAGCAAGAGATCATCCTTTCCAGCCCACAAGGAATCGGCAACCCATGCAGGCTGTGCCATTTTTTGATAACTGTTGCCGCAGAGCGGTTGCTGACTGGATTCCACGGGACGTCAATACGGCCATGGTACGATCGCCCGCCCGATGGTCAGAGTTCCTCATGAAAGTTCTGCGGAAAAAAAAACAAAGGCTTCGTTGTGTTTTCGCGCGTCACAACAAAGCTACTAATTCAAAGAGTTTTGCGATACTGATTCAACCTAGTAGTCTAGTTTGTTTGTTGAACGATTACTGCGGAACAAGTAATCGCAGTAACAAACCCTACTTACTGGTTCTTCTGACAGTGCAGCGCGTGAGAATTTGTGACTCATAGGATATTCTCAGCTTTTCATTTTGGATGTTGAAACGATAGGATTTGTTCAATACAAATTCAAAATAATGTTAGTTTCCTCCTGAAACCAATATTCTCAGTGCTGTGCGTTACGACCTATTGAACGGATATCCAGTTGTATTCACTTGATTTATACGACAGCGAAACGTTACAGTCAATGGAAAAACCATCACTGGAGTACAGTCCATTGCCAGCAGTCGTGGGTTTTTGCATAGTTTATTAGTAGGAGTAGAAAGAGTTGGGTATGTAATCAAATATGGTAAGCATTGTTTCACATTTATATATTCAGGAGTTTCTTGTCTGTCAGTCCTGTTCCAGTTTGTTGCGGCTCTACCATAGCTGCTTTCACATGAAATATCACTTACTGAAAAAGTGCGAGGACAAGGTTTGTGGCTGCCTTTTAATATGTGAATGCCTCAGCGGTGCTGTGATTGGAATTCCATCACATATTAAAATTTCAGCTGGAAATTCTCGGTACCCAGCATCCGGAATTTTCCCCTGAGAAAGCAGTGGAGGCTGTTCGAAATTGTCGAGTTTGGATGAACAGGATTCTTGCGGATTATCTGGACATCTGGAAGAAAGTTCAAAGCCTCGAACACTGATATTACTTGGCAATAGGCCCATAATAATTTCCATTTAAGTAGCTGACTCTCCAAAGCCGTTTATGGGATGCCGGCCCTCTTGACTTCAAAGTGGTACTCATCGAAAACGCCCATGTTTTGTGAATGTTTTTCTCATGTAACTACTGCGAATTTAATTGATAGATTGATCTAACAGCCAGTTTCCATGGCCAGTAATTTCGATTCCTTACCGCTTAAGCACGAATATGTACCTTTAATGACCGGAAAACGTAAAAATGTAACAATATGGAGTGAATTTTATTTTTGTTTTACAATATCTTACCAGGAAAGGTCAACAGGTCGCCATCGCCATTCGGGATGGGATGCATATTGGCGTGTGCGTTCCTGGATACTGAACTCGAATCTGCTTTCAAAATTTGCGGAACGATTCTCCGGGGGGAGTTAGGGGAGGGGGTTTCCAGCACAGCACCCGCCCAGTACCCTTTGTGCTAGCTTAAGTCAAGTTCAGCAACCAGTAGTGATAAGTGGTCGATGCTGTAGTGGATAGGCAAGTTGCTTCATAGATGCGAGGTCAGGGCTCCGATTCCTTGACAGGCTCGCATTTTTGCTTTTCTGAGGAACATATGTGAGTCCGGAAAGTACGTCTATCCCGTTATTATTCGAGTCTGTTCTCATCTGCAGAAGAAAAAGACTCGAATACCGGCACTCCGTCAGGTGTGCTTCTTTTTGAGGCTTCTGTTAGAAAATTGACTGGTTTTCAGATTGTACATGAATGAGTCAAACTGCAACTACTGAAGAGCAGATGTGGTGTTCTTTCAGACCCGTTTCTCTTCGATGCAGAATTAGTTTGGTCACTTCAGATTGACATTTTAATAGGAATGAAATGGGGTTTTCCCCTGTTAAAGACATTTTCTAGCTTCCAGCTCGGTATTTCATGCAAATAAAGCTCATATTATGAGCATGCATACTGGAATGGGTAAGATCCTGCGTTGCCTACGGAGTCAACACTTCTGATGGTAGATTCCTTCTAAATGGACTTTCTCAGAGGGTGTGTGGCAAGAGAATCGTAATTCGCTGCGCCAGTGGGCGCCGCTTGCGACGTCGCGCCCGCTAATGACGACGATTTCAGTTGGTATTGGTCGAGAATAGAAAATGCGTCACCAAAAATGGACATAAGCGTCTACCATGTCCTTGTCTTCATGAAATCCGATGCTCCAGTCGATAGGGTAGTGCAAATTAAGGGCACGTCACGCCTATTACCGTGCGCGACAAATCGGTAATTTACGATTCTCTTGCCCATCTCTCCCTTCATGGACCACGAGCTTATCCAATTAGCTTTGTCAGCTGAAAAGCGCTTCAGAGTCCTCAACACACCACCAAGTGCTACAGACTTGATACAACCTTTGGACTTCAACTCTTTCTCCCTCTTTTAGTCGGTCTATAAGTGTTTCATTTCCTAAGTAGTAGCTCCCGAAATCGCTTTCTGTATACACAGTCGGGAATATTCTCCGTCTTCTCTCTCTATAGCTCGATTTCAATTTTGCTCTGCTCGATTCAGGAACTTCAGTCCTGCTCCTGTGTGTAGCGGGATAGTTTTATGTAAATCCTGGTGAATTTGTGACACCTGTTCATTATTGATTCCCTTCTGAATTTATGTGACTACAGCAGTAGTGGAGGGCCATCATTGGTGTGAGATGCTGTTTTGTTCACATATTTCGTAAAAGAAAACCACATGTGCTCTTCAGTAGCTGCAGCTTGACTCATTCATGTACCATCTGACAACCACTTAATTTTTCAATAGAAGTCTCGAAAATAAGCACAACCGACAAAGTGCCGGCATTTGACCCTTTTTCTTCTGCAGGTGAGAACAAACTAATAATAACAACGGGATAGACGTACTTTCCGGACTCACATATGTTCCACAGAAAAGCAAAAATGCGAGCCTGTCAAGGAATCGGAGCCCTGACCTCGCATCTAGAAGCAATTTGCCTATTCACTACACCATCGACCGCTTACCACAACTGGTTGCTGAACTTAACTTGAGCTAGCAAAGAGGGTATTAGGTGGGTGCTGTGCCGCAAATTCTGAAGGCAGATTTGAGTCCAGTACCCCGAGGCACGCCCCAATATGCATCCCATCCCGAATGGCCATGGCGACCTGTTGACCTTTCCTGGTTAGCTTCCAACTTGAAGATGGGTAGGCCGAAACAGTATTCTCTGTATGTGGATCTAAAACATATGTGGTTTATCTGTGGGACGTGTCGTCTGAGGAAAGTTGGTTATTTGCCAATGATTTAAGCTGAAGCACTTATTTGCGATCAACCAGTCTTTTTATCGCGCGAGCTTGTGTTTCTCGGCTGCATGTTTTTGTTGACTCTTCACTTACGCACATTGGAAAAGGATCCGAAATGCTCCAGGTGTCGCATACTTTTGTCACGTTTTGAGCCTTTCGATTTTCTTTGCCGGAGGGAGGTTTTTATGTCTTGGATACGGGATCCCGCGCTCTGCCTTCGAATAAAATAGATATTTGAAGTTTGAGAACATGCTGTTGTTGCTCTCTCACGACGTTCACTTCAAAGGACCACTGTTTATGCTAATAACACCGCTGATTGATGCAAAGTGTAGCTTATGATCATCCACGGACCACTTTTGTTCATGCCAACTCGGGCTACAGTAGGTTGCCGATGTTGCTGGAGAAATAGTTTTTCAATGTTCATTTTACAAATTTTGGCTCAACATGTGTCATCGAATGTGTAACTAGTAATCCTATCGACCCGTGACATATCGAGAAATTGTGAAAATCGGTGGATACAAAACATTGTCGAGATGGCTGGCCGTATACTGTTTATTTAGTTAGCTCACAGCGTGGACCATCGACAGCAAAAATACAACCATTAGTGAAACAAGAAGGAAAAAACCGAACACGGAAGAAACAAACAAAGCTCTAGTCATAGCGAACAAACAAGACAAGTTGATCGTAGACAATTGAATAGAAGTGGCGAAACACTTGGGTAGAAAAGAAGCAAACAGCAGAGGGAAGTTGAAAACTACCACGTGCAGCCACACATGCATAGCACCGTGTAAAGAAAAAATTTTCCGCGTGAGAGGCAGGAGATAAGAGAAAGAGAGTGCAACACTTCTCATGACAAGCTCTCTAAGGCGTGTACTTTAAGAAAATTGTGCAACACTTCTCATGACAAGCTCTCTAAGGCGTGTACTTTAAGAAAATTGTGCAACACTTCTCATGACAAGCTCTCTAAGGCGTGTACTGTAAGATGGCAAGGACGAGGGTAGTGGTTCAGGAAACGCATGAACATAGGGCAACCGTGTACTTTCTGAGGCTTTAAAATGAGTTTTTCCTCTTACTTGAGGACTCCACTCTTGAAAACCCCACATATGAACTCAACTTTGTGGATCCTAACGATGAAGACTGACTTAATGGCTACTATGGTAATTCATCTGTTGGAAGACGCTTTGTTCTTCTCGGAGGACCACTATCGTATCCACAATTGACCCTGATATTGGACCAGGTTTTTTCCCTTCGGTAGTTGAAAATTGCTATCAAGCTGCCAACAGGTGCGACATTTTTCCTCCAGGATTTTGAAAAATACGGAATGCATTTTTCATGTTCTTCACCATACCTTAAACAAGGAACGAAGTAATCTCTCTCGCATAAGTCTGCGAATTTATCAAGGTTGAAAGCGTGATTGTTAACCACTCTTATTCGACCAACGTTTCGGTGTTACTGCCGCCTCATTGAGAGCTTGGAAAGTCGAGAAGTACGAAGGGAGCCAGTCTTCCGAACACTGTTTCAACTGCAAGAAAGTTGGGAAGAATGTAAAATACAAAGACAAAGTCATGGGAGCCGTGAGAACCATGGAGGTCCACCTATCACTCGGCGGTTCTAGTTGAACGGTTCAACCCACGGACAAAAATAGCGTTTTTCGAGAAAAAAACCGCATGAGACAACGACGGTTTCTGGTCAAAGACACATAGTACGCTCACACACACCGAGAGTCTAAATGACTATCACGCCCCCCCCCCCCCGAATGCGCGGGCCCTGAGGGATTTCTAGACATCGTCATCATCGATTCTTATTTTGCAGCACCTAAAATGTTATTCGCTTCAGGAAATAGCGTTTTGCTTGTATTCCAAAGCGCATTTACAGGACTTGGCAAGAAGCCAAGAGAGCCACGCGCGACACGCGCGGCGCATAACGCTGTTAACATAAAAGATGGGCGGAGTAGGAAGAAATTAGGGTTTTGCGCGGTCCTGTATCTCCATTCCTGCTTATGCTAGGACGGGAAACCGTTACGCTTCGACAGCTGGGGGGGGGGGGCTGATATTCACATACGCCCTCAATGTGTGTGAGCGTACTATATGTCTTTAAGTCCGCTTTGGACCAACGATACCTCTGACCGCACGGAACACCACCGCAAGCTCGTCCCACAGTCACGACCACTTTTCTGCGCGAACATGATTTTTCGAAACTTCATTGTAACTATTCTTCTGTGGCTTTTTTTTGCACCCTTGCTATTTCGCATTACTAACAAGGGAATGGTTCTTCCATGTAACTTCGAATGGAGACCTAGGTACATCGACAGAGTATCGAATGCTGATTATGAATATGCAGATTAAAAGTGCTAGGACATTCCAAACAGTTCTAGGTGACAAAGTTTGCTGTTGTCGCGGTCTACCGCGACTTTCCATTGCTTAGCATTGTTTAGATTTATTATCATGTATTTCCCAGCGCTCTTTTGTGTAATGTTTATCAATTCGACAATAAGCAATATATAAGGCTTTGAGTGGTCGATTAGATGGGCTTTTTCCCTTGTGTTTCACTAGACGTTCCACTGAACCGCCTCGAGAACAGTGTTTTGGTGCATCGGCCAAACATTAGTTCTCAGAGAGTGAAAAATCTGGTCGCTTGACCAGTGGATCGGAGCTTTCTGATTCAATAAGACCCACTGAGGGCAGAAATACGCATAAATGGAGTCGATCCTGTACGGGAAGGTTATCCTTCATAACGTCCTCACGTTAAGGACCCTGGTAGAACGGTTCAAGGCTTATGCAGAACCGCAGAAATATTCTGAAGACGATCAGCTCCAATTCGAGGAGATACTACAAACATTGACCTTCTCAAAGGTAGTATTGGGCAGATTGACCTTGCAAGGTCTAATATACAGACGCTTGTGGATAAGATTAAACTTGATTATGATACCACGAAAAACAAAGAGGATAGGAAGAACATTCAACATTAACTTGAGAGCATCGAAGCAGAGACAAATTTTCCAGAAGCGATGAAAGATTCTATGGAACTTAGCATCATGCTTAACACTCGTCTCACCGATTAGGATTGACCAACAGGGACTACCATAGCGATAACCCTACTGACATGACCGACTACCTGGACGAAGAAAACAGCTCCACCGCCTTGCTCAACCATCAATAGTCGGCATCCCCTTCAATTCCACCCCCTCGTGTGGAGTTGCCCAAATTTTACGGAAATGCAGAGGATTTTCCCGACTTCTGGGCGGTATATGAAACTCTTGTGCACAATAACAGCAAACTGGCGGTCATAGAGAAAATGATGCTCCTAAAAGACTGTTTGAAGGGAAAGTCGGACAGAGCTATCAAAGGAATTCAGCTCGTGCCCCAAAACTATGAGTGGATGGTAGCAAGCCTCAAGAAAAAATACGAAAGCGAGGCAACCAGCAGGTCACGAATCGTTCAACAACTCATGGACTTACCCCAGCCTGATAGAAGCGCAGAAAGCAACGAATTGGTTTTTGATAAAATATGTGCGCTTTTAAATCAAATGACATCAGCTGGTCAGGATATTCGCCAAACAAACGATGCAATGTGGATTGAAGCCATTATACACAAGTTCCCACGAGATATAGTAAAACCGGTGCTCATCAAAATGAGGGAAAACGAAGATACTTGCTGTTGGTGAGATAATGAATATTATAGAGACGGAAATATCCGACAAAAGCCTAACATCCAGGCCCGTACTCGACCCCAAACGAAAGGGTTCAAAAGAGGAATTTCAGATGGAAGTGTCAAGCCGAATTCTCAGAAATGTGTAGTATGCGGGAAACTCGGTCACCATCGCTTGGCAATGCCGTACACCACTGACCAGTGAATGAACGACGAAAAATCATCGTTAAAAAAGCGCTTATGTTGGA